CATAAAATCAAGCCTAGGAGCAGGAATGTATCTGGCCCAAGTAGACAGATAAGGTAACAGACCAGCAAGGTGACTTTACCAGGACCAGGCTATAACAGTGATTAAAGCCCAGGCCTCCTATGCCAGAGCCAAGCTGCTATTCATCTCATGGCTTCCCCACTCCCAGCCACAGCTGAGCCTTGACCACACACAGTGGCCAGGATTGAGGGTCAGGGACCCCTGGTCCCAGTAGCTCGGCTGGTTGGGCTCACTGTTCTTTCTGTAGTTCATGAGCATTTGCTTAGAGCAGCAGATTTTATGTGCTCTTTTCTCAAGACGTCCCAGCTGTAAGTGGAAACGGGGCCATGGTGCAAGGCAGGCAGGCCCCAAAATGCTTCCTGCCCCACCTTTGCACTCAGGCCTGGATTCCTGATGGTGGAGGAGTTCAAGTCCAGACGCCAGCAGGCTTGTGAGAAGGGCCCTTCTTGCTCTGTGTGCAAGGGATTGGGCCTTCTTTGCAAGACCCCTCCACCCCAGAGCAGCTGTGAGGGAGGCCCGGGGCGCAGGGACCTCCGTTCAAAAGTCTGGGTTCTTCTATGGGACAGGTCTGGGGTTTGCAGACTTGGTTGGTAGGGAATTCTTAGCCAGAATCCCAGGTTTTATGTGAAATCTTACACAGAACCCAAACTGCAACACCGGCCACAAGGGAGCGGCTCTGGTTGAGGCCACCTGGCCCACGGCCCTCACTCACTTCACAGGACCACCTGAGCTCTGGAGGGCCTGGTTTTTGCAACCAGTGTGTCTCCTTTCCTGCCCCAGACCCTTCCCTCGCTCAGCCTGCCTGCCCCTAGAAGACTGATCTTGCAAATACGTGGTACACAGGTAGGCAGGGATCCCACTGCCCTTAGCGTGAATGTCAGACCCCTCTTCCTGACATTCGATGTTCTTTGTGGTTGGTTTTAACATAACTGTCTTGCCTCACCATTCACTGAGACGCAGTTCGCCCGTCTCCTCACCTTTTGTATCTACTGTGTTGGCCTTTCCCTCCCTCCCATTTTTGCTCTTCATGGTCTTTCCAAACCTTACCATCTATCCAAGCTTCTCTTGAGAGTCGCCATTTCCTGGAAGCTCTCCTGCCTGCCCCAGCTGTCAATGGTCTACTCCCTGAAATGCAACAGTTCACACAGTCAGTGCCCTATAAAGTAGCACCTGATTCTTACGTGGTTTTATCTGACTCACTGATGTTAACATGTGTCAGTCTTTTCCTCGCGCTGATCTGTATGGTTAACTCACAAAGGAAGGGGGATAAGTCGTTCCTTTCTCTCATATCAGGGTCTAAATAATACGAATTTCAGCGCATAATGTAGCTTCAATAAAGAGCTACTGAATCTATTAACTGCAGCAGTCTTGAGCTATTCCTGGAGTAACAGAATCTCCCTCATGTTGGGGAGAACTTGGCTCCTTTGGGGGTTGGCCATCGTGGGCAGAGACCTGCAATGAGGTTGGTTGCTGGCAGATGAAGCCTCCTGAAGACTTTCCTTTCTGTAGCCGATTTCCCTGAGATGTGCGTCTCTCTCCAACTCAGTAAGACTGTATTGGGATGAGTGAAGCATTAACCATGTGGTTCTGGCCCATCTTGCAGGGATTTGAAACTGGACAACATCCTTCTGGATGCAGAAGGTCACTGCAAGCTGGCCGACTTTGGGATGTGCAAAGAAGGGATTCTGAATGGTGTGACGACCACCACATTCTGTGGGACTCCTGACTACATCGCTCCTGAGGTAAGACCTCGTGCAAGACTGCCTCCTCCTCATGCTTCATCCCTATGAACTGGGGTCATCTAGTGGTTCTGGGGAAAACTAGAAAACCAGGATGGATCCCAGGAAAGAGGGAGAAAAGATTTGCTGATGTATCCGTAAGGAAGTGGTGGGGAAGGGGGAGATACCAGTGAGCTGAGAGTAACAGGCCATTCCCCCAATCTGGACAGGTCCTCCTGAAGATTATTACTCTTTCATCCAGTCCAGAACTACCCGTGATACTAGGACCAAGAGAAATTTGGTGACTTGTATCATTGTTTTCACTTCTTAATAAACAGAGTAAAGGAATACCATTGATAAAGGCAGCAATTAACTTAATCAGCTATAATTTGCCTGTAGTAACACCAGGAATTATTTGCCATTTCTAGTGTGGACGTTGAGTCTACGTAGGGAACACACAGGATCAAGGAGGAAGCGGAGAGTAACTGGCTCATTATAAATGCAGATCAGAGATATTCATTTTAAGACTCACCAGTGGGTTGTTGCCTTTTGTGAAAGTTGTTTGGATATTTTGTTCCTCATAAAGTGTTTGTTTGCCTTGAGTTTCTCCAGGTCAGTCTTGCCCAGCTGAGAGATACCTAGTGTGACATGATTCAGATTTAAGACATAGCCTATCAGAGATACTTAATAAAAATGCTGTTGAGGGTTCTGACACATATAAAATGGAAGGAAGTACCAGTCCCCATTAAGCATTGCCCATGGTGGTTAGGTATGTGTTAGCACATTTAGATTTCATTTCCTTTCCATGGGCATTGTTTGAGCACCTGCTAGACTCAAAGCAATGTAGGGATAAAGAATTGACTAAGACACTTGTCACTCTCCTAAAAGAACTTTTGGTTCAGAGGGAGTGACAGGTAAGTAAATAACTAATTAAGTAGAATAAATAGGTACAAAACACAAGATGGTATCCTCAGGATGGGGAGGCCTCTTGGAGCACCTGGTGGATGATTTGAGTTGTAAAGAATTAGCAGGATTTCCTTTGGTGTGGGGGGTGGGGAACATTCCTGAAAACAATAGGGAGGATTGAGTGGGGGTGGGGCAGGGGAAGAGGCTCAGCATCCCTGGGCTCTGAATCCTTTAGGGCAGGGGCTGTGCTTCTAATCTGGGTACTTCCAGGATCCAGCACAAAAACCAGGCTCCCAGTAATGGTTTGTTGAATGAATAAATAAATGAGAATTTGGGACACTCGAACATGAGCAAAGACAAAAGGGTGAGGAGATTCTTGGCCTTTTTTAAGAAAGGAAAATTGTGTAGCTAGAACACTAATAGTGTAGGGTTTCTTAGTGCTCTTAGTAATGAATGAGATTAGTTGAGATTAGGATAAAGGACCAAGGAAAATGGCCTTTATCCTGTAGGACCTGTGGACCCACTAAGGGCTTCCCAGTATAGAAGGGTCACAATCAGACCTGTCCCAGTACGAAGATGGGTATCAGCAGTATACTCATAGATCAGAGGGCAGAGCTTGAGAGAAGGACAGTTGAGAGACTTTTCACAGACTGGACAAGACATGGGGAGGCCTCAGGAGAGTCAGAGAAGTGAGGTTGCTAAGTAATAGGTAAATTCTCGAGAAATTTATCTTCTAAGAGACCTGAAGAGTAGAGATTTCAATCTGTCTCTACTAATGTGTTCCCTTAGTGGGAACACTAGGAATTGAACCTTCAAGGAGATATCAGTGAAAGCCAGGGCTCTCAATTGCTTTTTCAGCATCTTCCTTATTTACCCTTTTTCATCAGAATGCTTGGTTCCAGTCCCTCTGAGTCGATACCAGAGTCAAAGGGTAGAAAGCCCAGTGTTGTAGTTAGGACCCAGCCCAAGACAAACATTTACTTTATGATGAACGAAACAATGAACGGCTCTGATCTCTGTTTATGAGGCCCAGACACTCTTCCTTTCCATTCTACACATGTGCCCACTATGCAGAATCACCACTACACTTGAAATGGCAAGCAATTCCTGGTCTTCCTATAGGCAATTTATAGCTGATAAACATATTGCTACCTTTATCAAGGGCTCTGGGGAAGATTAAATGAAAGTTTGTCTCCACAGCATTTACCACAGCGCCTGGCCCAGAGTAGGCACTAAGTAAATAAATGGGGGCTCCATCATGACTATTGTTGCTGGGTTGTGCAGCAGCGTGTGAAAAGCACCGACTGAGAGTTGAGATTCCACACTAGACTTGACCACTAATGCCTCCATGTCGACCTTGATCAAGTTACAAAACAGTTTTGACCCTCAGGTTCCTCATCTTTCAAATGGGAATAACAATTCCTGCCCTACCTGCCTCATCAAGCTGTTTTGAGAATCTAATGAGATTAGAGCATGGAAAAGCTTCAAAATGCATAAGCCTCTATTCAAATAGGAGGAGTTGAGAGGTGCCTGGCTAACCCTGAAACCAGACACCTTCTGAGACGCTAGCTTTGCCCCAGGGCTTCTCTGCCCATCACATGCCTTTGGCTAACACCCATCTTACCTTCTCTCTTTTCTCCACGCCCAGCCCCAGCTCCCTAGGAATGGTGGCCAGCCCTGGGCTCATCACACCCAATGTCTTCCCTTCTCTTCTCCCCTACGCTGACCCACTCAGGGCTTGGCTGCCATGCTGGGTGCCCTCCCATGGCGTGTGAAGCCTTGCCCTTCTCACCAGCTCCATCACAGACAAGCCGATTAGAAAGCAGATAATTAGGGCCAAGCCTAAAAGCAATTTTATAAAGAATGCCACCCAAAACAGGAAGGCTTTGGAAGGGGCCTTGGGGAAGGGTGGGCTGGACTGCTTTGTGGTTCCTGCAGTGTCATCCTGTCTGAGCCTACACAGGCAACCTAGAGGCCACCTCCCTATGACCCTGTGGAGGCATAGAACTCAGCTGTGCCATCTCCTGGATGCTGGAAGGTGGCCACCTTAGCACTCACAGCCCCCTGCACCAAGGAGAGAAAGGAGCACACCCAGTAAGGCACACACAGTGGGCACATGTGGCAGCCAGTCCCCCAAGTGTTAGAACTGGGCTGATCACAGTGGTGATTCAGAAGAATGCAAGAGCCCCTACCACCTGGTTGTTATAAATGCCCTGGGGAAACAGTTGACCATGAGAAAATAACTAAAATCCCAGTAGTATGTAGAAGGTGCTTATCTTAAGGACAGGTAAGGGCCTTAAGATGTCAGAGGATAGGAGAAAGACTGGGGGAATCCGAGGAAGCTTTCTGGGGGAGGTGGGTGATAATCATGACCTTGAAGGAAAGAAACTGGTGGTCCTGTGATGAGATAGGTTGGGGCGCTGGATCTTTCAAGGCAGAGGGAGACGCTAGCTTTGGCTTTGGAACAGAGCAGCATTACTGGCTCCTCAGGGCAGTGGAGCCTCTAGTTCTGACTGCTAACATGCTAACTACTGGTCTCAGAGACCAAAGGTACTCACCAAGCAGATTACCAAACCGGAATAATTTAGAGTGGGCTTTATTTGCTTATATTCCCTTTCATTCTAAATTCAGAAGATTCCCAGAATGTGTTTTTACTGTTTTCAAAATCCTTCTACCCAAGTCTTTTTATTTAATTCCAAGCAATCTGTAATCTCTAGAAGGGTGTTTTGAGTAGACCACAGAAAGCCCATATACTGGGGTTCAGTCTCCTCTTCTCTGGCTGTCTTGAAATCTGAGAATTGAGCTAGAGCCTTCTGGGAAAAGTTACCTGAAAAGTTACCCACCTGAGGTGTCCTGCAAGCTGCAGTGATTAGGCATGGCCTTTGCCATTCGGAGTGTCTGAAATAAAAGGCAGGGGACCTGGGACTTTATAGAGGCAGGTGAACAAGGGACTCATTGGCGAGTGCTGTGGGACTCACGAAGAACACTAGACATGGGTTTTTCCCTGGAATATGCAAGAGCATCATGGTCCTTTGTGATTAGAACACAAAAGCAAGAGGAGACTTATTAAGTATAATTTCTTTTCCAAGAGTACAGGGTGCAGGTATTTCAACACTGTCACCATTTCAGAAGCCTGGGCTTCTGCTCACCTTTCCACGCTGTGAGTCGTGCCCTGGACTGCGTGTGAGACGGGAGAGCCGATGTTGCGGCCCGCGGCTCCTTACAGCTTGCGTGTCTCTCCTAGTCTGCATCTTACTCCTCTGACCCTGATTTTAATGTCAAATATATGCATTTTTTTAACTTAGCTATAAATGCAAGTCAAGAACTTCATCTGGTGCTCAAAACAAAGAAACAGTGACTTGTCCCCACTGGAAGACTGTGTATAGGTACCAACTTTGGACAGTTGATAGTTGGCCCCCAGCGTAGTGCCTCCCAAACTCAATTTCCACTGAAGTTGCTGACTTGAAACCTAACTTTATGTAACATGGGGCTCCGCTCTGCGAAGGAGCAAGCTGGAAACGAAGGCGTGGTTCTTCCCATGGGCACTTGTGGCACAGGCGTGGCCGCTGGTGGGAGTCTTTGGTGGGCTCTGACATTGCCCGTTTCCTGAGCAGATCCTGCAGGAGTTGGAGTACGGCCCCTCAGTGGACTGGTGGGCCCTGGGGGTGTTGATGTACGAGATGATGGCTGGGCAGCCCCCCTTCGAGGCTGACAATGAGGACGACCTGTTTGAGTCCATCCTCCATGACGACGTGCTCTACCCGGTCTGGCTCAGCAAGGAGGCCGTCAGCATCCTGAAAGCTGTGAGTGGTTGCCCCGCACCGACGTTTCTGCTCCCTGGCCTCGCCACCATCTGTCTTTCTCCTCACTCTGTCCCTCTCGCTCCTCCCTTCCGACTCACTCCCGCATTCTCCCTTTTTCTCTCTGCCTTTCTCTGACCCTCCTGCTCAGTGCTGAATGGAAGCAGTTGAGGACAGTCACCGCTGGGAGTTCAGGCTCAGTTCAGAGGGCTGCTGCCGAGAGCATGGGGCCTGAGACGAATTGCTCTTCTTGTGGGAAAAGGACAGCATGTCTGTGTTTCCTGAGGGGGAGCTCTGTGCACATCTGTGTCCTCCAGTGAGTGTTTCAGAGGGAGCAGAACCAACCCAAACTGCCCTGGGGTCACCCCCACTGCCTAGACTCTGTGGCTGGACCCTCCTTCCATACCTGTCACTGTGGCCCGTCTTCCTCTGGGGCCTGCGATGGGGACGAGAGAGGAGGGGAGAGAGAGGAGGGTACTGTGCACCTGTGTCTGTGAAGGCGTCACCGTGGCTGAAGAGCTGATCAGAAAAGAAGTGTCCATTCAAGATCGATGCAGCCATGCTGGATTCAGACATGTAATAGGGAGACTGTCCCCTGTTATCCTACAAATAATCCCTCATGTGAAAACTCTTAATACCCGCTCATTGCAGCCATTTCTACAACATAAGACAGTTGTACTGCAGCTAATAAGCGAAGTTACCTATCCCCCTAGAAGAGCTGTGGAAGCTGCAGTGCAGGGAAGCCAACTTACCTGGGAAGGGTCACTCTCCTGGGTTGAGGAAGGACTGGGGTGGCAGCCCAAGAACCTTGACTTCCAGTGCTGGCTTCTTTCACCCATCAGAATGCCCCGAAGTTCAGTAGTTGGCATACCACATTCAGAAAGTTTGCCGTACCTTCTCTACTATGATTTACTTTTCTTGTTCTTTCAATCAACTCCCAATATTTGCCTAATATACGTATGTATTTTTCAAAGAAATTTTATGTCACTGTCATAAATGGAAAATCAGTAGCACTTGCCATAACTAATTAGCATAAGTCATCATATAAAAATGTTAAAAAGACCTAAAATCATTTTGTAGGTGTCTGGGGGCGGGGAAGGGGGGGACACATATAATATTTTGGAAAATGCCACGTCAGAACATATCACTTTTTGCCATAGTTGTTTTTTGCCTTCTTCTTTCCCCCTATCCCTCACTTTATCCTTCCCTCCCTTCCTCATCTACTTCCCTTTCGCTGTCTCTCTGTTTCCCTTCTAATAATTTGGTTAATATTGAACTACTATTTATTGAGTGCTTCCAATGTGCCAGGCATTGTGCTAGATACTAAGTAAGTGTTGGTGAATATAACATCCATTGTCTCTTCCTGTGGAGCTTACAATCCAGCAGGAAAAGGTGGGCAGTAAATTAAAAACTACATGCATACGTGGCCACAATTGGCATAAGAGTGCTGAAAGAAGCAAATAGAGTATGCTTATTTACTCACTCCTTTATTGAGAACATATTTATGAAGCATTTAGCATGTGCCAGGCACTATGCCAGGTGTTGACAAAGGAAAACCTGCAGTACCCAAGGCAGCCAGAACCCCAGCCCCGCCTGCAGAACTTGTCACTTACCCTGGACCCTGAACCCCAGCCCAGCGCTCCTTTCCGGGAGCCTCCCTCCTGGCACCCGACCTGGGCCGTTTCATTTTGGATGACCCAGAGCGGTGCTTCTCAACAGGGGCAATTTTGCCTCTCCACCCCAGAGACATTTGTCGACATCTGGAGATATTTTTAGTTGTCACAACTTGGAGCAGGGGATGCTACGAGCACTCGTGGGCGGAGGCCAAGGATGCTGCTAAACATCCTACAATGCACAGGATGGCCCCTGTGACAAAGAGGTATCCGGTCGAAAATGTCATTAGCGCAGAGGTTGAGAAACTTTGACCTTCAGAGATTCAGAAGCTAGAGATCGCGTCTGTGTCAGCTGGTTGGCGAGGGGAAGTCTCTGAGAGAAGGCATCTTCCCTGTGCGAAGAGCCCCTGGCTCCGGGGCAGCTTCCTGAGGCGTTAGAACCTGTAGGCTTATCCGTAGCCCTGATATTTCCCCTCCCAGAAGTGGGAGGACAGGAATTGCTGAGGAAGTAAGGAGCAGTCTTCTACCCCCTTGGCCTTGGAACACTTCACTTCCTCACATTGTCGCTTGCTTCTAGGGCCAGGCCTGCTTTTCCATGACTCTGGCCGTGAGCTCTCTGAGGGCTGCTGCCTCTGTGAAGGCGAGACAGGACCCTAGAGAAGGCTACTTCATCACAGGGTTATACAGCACACTGTAACCGTGTGCCGCCATCGGGGGCGGTCCTGCTGCCTCCCTTCTTCACCATTGTCACAAGACACCAGCCCAAAATGTAAAGCTCCTCAATGTGGTGTTTACGGACAAGCATTGAGAGAAGCGAGAAGCATTTCTTTTTCTTGTTTTTTTGATCTTTTGATTTACATGGGTATGTTGTGCTAGAGATTACAAATTCAAATCTTTAAAGAGAGGGAGGGCCCAGGTCCAGGAAAAGGAAAGGATCAGGAGGTACCTTTGATAATTCACCTTAACGTGAATCGTGAATCGCTGGTTCTCTTTCCTTACCTCAGAAAGGACTGTTGACCTCTCAGGATAAGTGAGTTTATGAGACATCGGTCTCCCTGAGGAGAGGACTTGAGAATCTGAGGGAAATCAGGGGGTTAGTAAGAGCCTGAATTTCTAATCCCACCTTGGTACCTTGCTGGCTGTTTGACCTTGGCCAAGTTAATTAACCTCCCTGTGCTTCAACTACCTCACTTATGAAATAGGTAAAATAATAGTACCTCAGAGGGTTTTGTTTAGATGAAATGAGTTAATACGCTATGTTTAGAATGGTGGCTGGCACAAAGTAAGTTCTATATAATAGTTAGACGATACCCTGAAGGGCGAAGCCCCCCAAAAGTACAGAAAACTGGCTTAGGACGTGATCCTGAAGGTGTTGCCTTGTCTGGCGTCCGTCTTTCCCTCACAGCTCATGCCTGCCGAACCTCGGTTGCTAATTGTACCTATGTGCTCATCCCTGCAGTTCATGACCAAGAACCCCCACAAGCGCCTGGGCTGTGTGGCAGCACAGAATGGTGAGGACGCCATCAAGCAGCACCCATTCTTCAAGGAGATCGACTGGGTGCTCCTGGAGCAGAAGAAGATCAAGCCGCCCTTCAAACCTCGAATTGTAAGTAAGGCCTGGAGCTCATCCCACGTGTGGGCCGGTCCTGGGTACCACGTGCAGAAAGGTGGTCTGGGGCACATCTGACAGCCAAAGTGACAAGGGCAAGAGGGAGCCAAGACGCTCCCTAAAAACAGGGTCTCTTCAGCGTTGAGTTTACTATAGAAAATACACACCCTATAAGCCATAACCAAGATGATGATTTAAATGGGACATAGAAGAACATTTTTTATTTTTATATGTACTCATTTTGATGAAAAATTGCAAATGATACTAGTTTTCAATGTATGATAGAGATAGAAGGTTTCTTTATAAATAAATGGGTGTTTTAATGAATCAATTTAAAGAAAAATCTTAACTAAACAATAGTCACAGTCATTATGTGGCGCTAACCCAGAGTGTAAAGGAGCTACTTAGTGACTGACCTTTGGGAACCCCTGGAGGCTGAATCTGTTAGAGGCCCATTCCTTAGGCCACATCAGAGACCTCCTCTTCCTTCTCTGCCCTCTCTTCTGACTTCACTCAGCTTTACCACTCTCTTCCAGGTTCTTAGGCCTGTCGGGGTGATGTCAGTTGGAGTGGGGGCGCACAATAAAGGGTGTTTGTAGCTCAGAGGTTGGAAAAAAGAATAGGACTGTTGACTCAGAGAGCAAAGATCATGTCCTAGCAGAGGAGGTGTCAGCAGCGTTGTTCTAAAAGTGAGAGTATGTTTATGTGCACCAATGTGTGTGCGTGTATGTGCGTGTGTGTGCGTGTGTGTGTGTGTGTGTGTGTGTGTGTGTGTGTGTGTGTGTGTATTGAGGGGGGGTGAGGGGTGGATATCTTAATTCTGTTGGCTTTTAGCCTGACAAGGCAATCATTCAGACTGAAAATCTGGATAGCCAGCTGACCAGTTTATAGGGAGTGAAGGGGAGTGTGTAATAGAGTAATTTACTGGGCAGGAACCCCAGAGTGGTAGGGCTGGGGTCCCGGCAAAGAAGACCTGAGACCATCCAGTCAGCCCTCAGTCACCCTGTATTCTGTTAGACAGCCCCCTCCTCTCTCACTACCAAATGCAAAAACCACTCTCCTGTGCTTTGTGAATCATCAGAAAGAAATTTCATTACATTTTAGGAAGTTTTTCTGGGGAGTGATTGTGATATTGCTGTGATTCTCAGAAATGTTCCGTGGGGAGGTGGGGGGTGAG